GTGTTCGCACTTTTGCGAGAATAAATGGCTTTGGTAAATACGTGAGCTCAAACCGAATTTTTGATATTAGCTTTTCCGGATATTTGCCAATAGTTTAAATGATGGTTTCAATTTACAAATCTATAGCCTTATTTTTATACTCCAGTTATTTTTATATAAGCATCCCTTGAGAAAACCGGGTTCTAACCTATGTTACCCCCACTCTTAGACAAATCCTCTCTCGAAGATCCTGAGAAAAATAGTAGAAAAACGTCTTTTTAGTTTACAGACAAACTCTGAAAAATTTGCAGGACAAAGAACAATTAGAAACGCTACAGTGTAGTTTACGGTAGTAAGTGCCGTACCGAACGGTTGATAACTGGTAGATGTGTTGGCGATGATAAAGCGGTTATCTTCTTATCATGTGTGTTCTACCTAAATCCCTTTCATGTATGTTTTATAGAAACGTCAACAGGAGCAAACAAAAGAGCTTGTTCAATCTACCTCAATGTGCAATCATCCAGTTTGTCGTGTATTTGATAACAATGTGCGGTAGTTTTACTGATGTTGAATTAATTGAAGTAAGAAAGAGACGAACTTTATTTTCTGTGACGAATTCTATTCTTACTTACGTTAACTTGAAATATAAAGAGTATTCAATTGTTCATAATTAATTGTATCATTTTATTTTTGTGTACGTTTAACGTTTTGAATCGTTTTCTGAATAAAGCATTCTCTTTGTTGATAGTAACAAGTTTTTCTATAACGCGAAAAACAAAATTGAAACGATTGTTTGTTTAAAATCTTTAGTATATCGTGTAACTAAGACGTTGACGTCCTAAATTCTACTTTATCAGCTTAGTAAGTGAGTTGTAAAGCTACTAGACAAGCAAGTCGGAATAATTTAGAAAAACCTTCTTCCCCTTGCCGTATTGTTTACTTTAGTTTTGGGGCCGAGAATAAACGTTAATTGCTCCTGTTTGACATTTGCAATATATTTCATATATTCTACTGCTAGATAGGCATAATTTTGTTTCTACTCAGAGTCTAAAACTTGCAATAAGTCTATCTTAACCCCTGACAACCAGTGTTAATCTCTTCCCCCTACCTCATAAACATCAATTCAAACGCAGGCAGCGTCTCATGATTTCTGTATCTTTTCGTTGAAGATTATATAGGGTTGACAACATGAATTATCTTTGCTGAAGATCAGGAACTTTACATCATTACGTGAGTTTGTGGCTATCCATTTAAGCTTATTTCATCTTTAACAGTGTGCATGGAAAGGTTATTGCAACGAATAACTTACAGTTAGTTGTACCACCAGAATGTATATTAAGTCATCAATGTTTATTTTCAACTGCAAGCTTACGAATTATTACACCGACCTATGAAATTCGTCTTTGATGCTGGATGCTGAAGTGGATTGGCAGAATATTCTGTTGATGAAGTAACAAGGTAAATAACCCGAAGTTAGAGAATTAATAAGAAACGGGTTACAGTTATGCAGGATAGTGACCGAATCTACATTCTTATAGTTCTGTTTTTATTTGTCATTGCAGCATATGGCTCGAGAACATAAAGGAAAACTAACCCTAGACGCCTTGCTGATTATGCCTGTTCAGCGGATTCCGCGCTACGAGCTTCTGATTAAGGTAAGTCTGCTGACATCGCCTGTGACACAGACATTTCGATGATAAACACTCCCACATTCTTGTATTACTAATGTGCTTTAGCCAGTAATGTACTATACGTAAGTTCGCAATGTATTTTCAATAATAGGTTAAAGTTGGTCACACCTGTGACACAGACATTTCGATGATAAACACTCCCACATTCTTGCATTACTAATGTGCTTTGGCCAGTAATGTACTATACGTAAGTTCGCAATGTATTTTCAATAATAGGTTAAAGCTGGTCACACCTGTGACACAGACATTTCGATGATAAACACTCCCACATTCTTGTATTACTAATGTGCTTTGGCCAGTAATGTACTAT